TGTGGAGGCGCGGTGGCCTCATGGTTAGTGCGCTCGACTCCGGATCGAGTGGTCCGGGTTCGAGCCCCGGCCGGGACATTGTGTTGTGTTCTTAGGCAAGACACTTTACTCTCACAGTGCCTCTCTTCACCCAGGTGTATAAATGGGTACCGGCAATTTAATGCTGGGGGTAACCCTGTGATGGACTAGCATCCCATCCAGGGGGGAGTAGAAATACTCCTAGTCGCTTCATGCTACAGAAACTGGAGTTAAGCACCGGCCTAATGGGCCACTAGGCTCATAAACAGACTTTACTACTTACCTACTTATTGAAAGGGGAAAGCTGAGAGGAGAAAGAAAATTGTACCAAGGGGGTGAGCAATAGTGAAAAATTAAGGAGGGGGCGAGGGTGGGGGACTAATAATAATAATAGTAATTTACATTTATATAGCACAGACTTCTATATGAATATATTCAGTTGCACTTCACAAAATAAAGTAGAGAAGATTTGTCTAATATCTTGGGAGTGTTTTTTTTTTTAAATAAAACAACTACTCCACTAGCACTTGTTGGATATGAGATGATTATAGCCAACGAGGCGCATAGACTGGATAAAAATCCATGGCTGATTATTATTTGCCCCTTCCCAACCCCTCCCCTTACCTTTGACTCTAACTCCAAATTAGACATGGCCAGTGGAATAATTAACAATTATTCCACGAGTGAGTGTTGGATATGAGATGAGAGATAGCCAACAAGGCGCGTAGCGCCTCATTGGCTATAATCATCTCATATCCAAGAAGCGCTAGTGGAATAATTGTTTTTTTAAAAAAAAACACTCCCAAGATATTAGATAAATCTTCTCGATTTTATTTTGTAAGAAGAAACCGGATGTTACAATGTACAGATATTAGATTATGGTATATTGGCTCATATACCATAAGGGCTAAGCCAACAAAAAGTCTGGAATTGCATTATCCAATGATCCAGTTTTTAAATAAATGATTGTGTGCTTTGTTTAACTGGCCCTAATAAGACACCTGCACCGCAAGCTAAACTTAAGTTATTGCAACTCACCTGTAGGGATCATTTCTTTATGTGAATATTATCCATAGTTTAAAATATTACTTTTTTCATTTGATTGTTATCAGATTCCTTCAGGGGAAGAAAGAACCCTTCAGAATTTGTTGTGTTCTGAACATGTGGCTTCAAAGTTTAGTTGGTAATAGCACCCAACTAGTATCTGGGAGGCATGGATTTTTATCCAGTCAAAGCCTGAAATTTTTTTCCAGGCTTGTTCTCTGCAATGTCAATTATTGCAGCTCTGTGTGAGGATCATTTCTTTAACAAGAAAAATATAATGTCACGAAAATTGATCAACAAAGTATTTTCCTCTATTCCATAGCGTAAAAGTGGCTGGCGTTTCAGGAAAAGACCAGGAGTGGATGCTTTTCTTAATCAGCTTGGGCCACCTCTATTTGAAGTCGTCATATACACGCACGAAGCTGGATTTGTGAGTTAATTTGTTTTTAATTAGATCTTTTTCTTCTTTTACTGAGAACAAGTAGAGCTGATTTTGATCTCCCTTCGCATGACTTATAAATGCATTAATCCTTTAGGGTTCCTATGGAAAACCCTAACATCAGCATGCGTATTCTCCATACTGTTCTCTATACATTTCCTGAGGTGCTGACAGGGAAAATTTGATTAACAATCAAGAGCTTATTTGGCTAGAAATCATTTCTTTATTCTCATGGTGTTACTGTGTGATTCAGGGGTGATACTGTAAGGAGAAATTACATATTGATCACTCTTTATGGTGAAAGGGCTTAGACTGGTATACATTCGGAAATAAGGTGCTAGCTTATACACATGAAAATTGGTTCTCGCTGTACAATTCGCACCAGTTAAGGCTATTACTACTACAAGTAATGATCACGAAGGGAGGTGCCTGGTACGATTTCAACGCTTTTAATCTGTGGTTTCATTTGCAGACGTCAACTTTGTAAAAAGTAGAACAAAAAATTATGAATAATAATAATCATAATAATGATGATGATGATTTTTATTTTTTTAATAATAATAATGAAACTTTATTTAGCAATAATTTCCATAAAATCCTCTGCAATACAAAATATTAACAGCGAATAAAACGATGAAAAAGAACTCACTTTCGGCTCACATCTACTCCTTTTTTTTTAATGTTAAAGTGTCTAGATGATGATGATGATGATGATTATACTAATAATAATGATATTTATATAGCGCGCACATCAAAAGCTTCTCGTGGCGCTTTACAATACTATAAAATAATATTAAAATAACCTAATGCACATAGATAAAATTCAATCAAACAGAAGAGAATTAATAGTTACAAATTTTGAAAAGAGAAAAGTCTTGATTTTCTTTTTAAAAATAGTTACGGAGCTAGATTTACGAATTGAAAAAGGAATTCTGTTCCACAACTTAGGTGCGCACACAGAAAAAGCTCTGTCCCACCATAAACTGCAAGGGAAGCCCAGGATTAACGCATTTCAGTACTAATTTTCGTTTAATAAACCTTATTTTGCATCAGTATATTGTGCTGAATAAGGACACGAAACTGCATCAGTTGAAAGAGGAAGAATTGACCGTAAATCGTTCAAACATTTTTTTTTCTAACAAGAGTGCTGCACCTGTAGTGGATGGATTAGATCCAATTGGACTTATCATGTACAGACTTTATCGAGATGCTACACTGTATACTGATGGAACACATGTTAAGGTAAGATGAACAGTTTTTTTTTGTTCCTAACAGAGGGAAGGGAGGGGTGGATGGGAAGAAGGGGTATGTGACCCGGGAGTAAAAGAAGGGAGGAGAGGGTAAGGATTAGGGGTACGAAGCCTGGGAGTAAGCCTTCTGCTGTTCGAGCATTTTCCTGGGCTTTGCGAGATCATTTAAGGAATACATGTATTGTTTTATCTTGCACTGAATATTCAGAATTAAAAGCATTAGAAACGTTTGGCAAACAGGGCGGAGAATTGCTGTTTAGATTTGAACGCGGAAACATATCCTTGACACAAGGCGTTTCTTTGCACCAGTTTTCCCTCCAAACTTAACTCAATTTCTGTCGTATTCTCGGGTCCAGTCTTCAATGTTCCCAAGGAAGTAGCGCGGCTGGTTATCGATCCTACTTCCAAACCCTTTCATTATTGCTCAAATAGTGCTTTACTGCGAAGGATCGTGCTCATATACAAACCCTTTCATGTTATTTTCAGGATTTGTCCGCCCTAAACCGAGACCTCTCAAAAGTCATCATGATCGACTGTGACGAAAAAGCGCCAAAGGACAACCCTCGAAACGCCATCATTCTCAAGAAATGGGAAGGTGACCCAACCGACAGAAGATTGTTTGATCTTATTCCTTTTCTTCTTAGTGAGTATCCATCGTTTTCCTTCAGTTTCAAAAACCGTGTAGGATGATAAGTAGACTTGCTCACAATGCGCGCTTTTGAGCGCGTAGGGCGGATCCTTCCACACCAGAACAGAAAACCAAGCGAACGACTTTGAGAAAGTCTAGATGATAAGCTGTAATAATGGGAAGCAGAATATGGGAAGTGGATGGTGGGGAAAACGACGAGAAAATCGTAGAGGATTTGCTTAAGGAGCCACTTCTGGGAATACTACAGAATGTAATCGGGATTTGAATTTCAAAGATTTCAAATTATTACCTTTCAAGCCTTAAACTCCGGTGCCTTTTGATGGCCGGTGGCCTGGTGACCAGCGCGTTGGTCTTCTGTTCAGGAAGTTTGGGTTCGAGTCCTGGACGGACCAGGGGATGTTCTCTTGGGCAAGACACGTTAAGTCTTACACCGTTTTTTATTTATTTATTTATGTTTTTTTTTTTTATTTTTTTAAGTGGTGGTGTTTACTCCATCCAGAAGTATGAATTGGTACTAACTCAATTTTTGATAAAGCTGACAAAATATTGAAGGGTAATTTGTGATGGACTGACGACCCATTTAGGACGGGGGAAGCTGAAGGGGTGTGGGAGGGGGGAAGGAATAGAAATACCCTTTGTCGCTTCCTACAATGGAAATTGATTCAATTTCCGGCTGGGTAGTAAACTTGGCCCGTGTTCAGATTTAACCACACAACTGTGTGCAAATCAATGCGTAATGTTCGGGCTGGAATGAAATCTTCGTTCAAAAATATAATCTCGCCTCTTTTGCGATTACCCTCTCTCAGCCATTGCCACTTCAAACGTTGAAGACATCCGCACGGTATTAGACTTTTATCGACAAGAAGATGACATAATTGAAGCCTTCAAACGGAACCAGGCTAGGCTTCGAGAAGCAGAAGAGGCTAGGCTACCGCAGCAAGGTGCAAGATCATCATGGTCTGGTGTGTTTGGACGAAGCTTTAGCTTGGGCGGGTCAAGCAGCAAAAGTGTGAGTTATTAACATGTCCTTCTTATTAAGTTGATCGTTTCTTTAACAGAGTGTCGGGTTCAGTTATGGACTGTCGTTTGTAATCTTCAGGCCTGTAGCCTACAGAGCTGGTATCTCATGAGTGAGATCAGTGAAAATTAGTGAGCTTTACAAGTTCACGACTGTTCACCAAGTCGCCATCTTAGATGTGCAGTTAGAATTGATTGTGAGAGAAGGGGCGAGAAAAAAAAGGGACGCGACTTTTCTTCCTTTTTCCTTCACCCCTCAGCTGTAGGAATTTCTTCTCTCCTCAACTTTCTTCTACTTTGAAATCCATGATGGTGGCTAAGCTTGCTCTGTGCGATTACTCAGCGATCCCTCGTCAAAAGTACGCTCTATTTGGCAGGCTATGAGCCGTCCTTTGTCCTGCTCTTTTACTCGTGTGATTGGTTCCACCAAGTTGAAGAAACCTGCTTTTTCAGTCACTTTGCTTTACTTTCCTTTCCTTTCAAACGACTTGAAATATTAAGTTTTATTATTGTTTATTTAAATATTCTGTAGCAGCACAGCACGACTAAATTTCTGACATCATACACATTTCACAAGCATCATGTGCGCGCCTTATTTAATTTAGATTGCATCAGTTGAGTGGACAGGCACTGCTTGTAATAGGATAATATTGCATGCCACCTTGAATTTATTTTGACTCTTGACCCCAGTTACTTATGTTTCTTTAATTGATTAATAAGCAGAAGAGCCCCATTAAGGACGTTGCTTTCAAACTCATTTTTCACGACTGAGGGAAAACAAAAGGGAGTTGGGTTTTTTACAACGACACGAACTCCATGCAGTTCGTTCTGATAATGAGTTGGATCCACAGATTCTTAACTGTTAATAATCTCTTGGTTGGATGATTTGCCGCGAAGCTACAAAGGAAACTTGCACTCCAACCGTAGCTTTTGTGGAAGTTTCTAGTCGGTAATTGGAATACGGTCGCCAAAAAAATTTAATTTGCTAAAAAAAACTTGTCTGACAGTTGTTTTTTTATGTTTGCGGGGGCATCATACTCGGACAAACAGTGAGATAGAGACTGAAGCTTCCATTTGGTAATCATAAATCATTGAATGGTCGCCAAAAAAAAGTCCATTTGCTAAAAAAAGAAGCAGAATATCTGACGATGGTTTCTTTCTTTTTTTTGTTTTTTTTTGTTTTTGAGGTTCACGGGAGCTTCAGTACTTGGAAATGTTTCAGCTCGACCCAATGTCAACTCTGCCTTTGATTCGTCGCTATTCTCCCTTTAAATTGTGATTATGATATTTGCCAGAGGGAGCCCATCATGTAAAAGCCCTGTGGTTTGTCATGGGCTTCCTCGTCAATTTCATTCTTTTGTTTTTTACACTTGTAACTTGATACTTAAATTTATGGCAAAGTAAATAGAGCATCTTGATAAATCGTAAAGCCGGCAAGGAGAAACGGGGCAAAAACGACTGAGTGAAGATGATTTATACAATGTTTATGTCAGTTTATCTTAAAATCTTAAACACTAAATTAAAAAAAAACATCACTACTTGCAATGCATGACTGCTGATTACAGGTTGCGCGAGTTTGGCGTTTAATCCCCAAGATTTATTTCCATTCGCCATGGCGGTTTTAACGCTCGCAGTTTGGAGCCCTGGATGTGCTAGGCAACACTTTAGGTTCATATGTGACAAGCGTTCTATATTTTGCTAGGATCAACTTTGTCGACAACGTTTTGTGGGGATATAGAGTAAGGTAGACTGTTAATGTTGAGCACGGCTGTTGAACCAATGCAATTCTCGGGTTCCCAAGAGCAATACTATTAAGAATTAACTTCGTCGCAAAGGCTTCACTTCATCAAACAGAGGCTTAGGGCATCTCGGAAATAGTTCGTTGACTTGGCACAAGTGCGGAACAAAGATGATAAAAAGATAAGTCGCCAGTGAGAACTTGAACCTCAGCCGTTTCCGCTCTTCACCTTAAACTTATCGCTAATTCGAAAAACAATCTGGAGAGAGAAACTCCTCAAGGTCAGGAGAAATTCACGAGAAAGTTGAAACTCGAACGAAAAGTCACGAAAACTGGAACGAAATCTTCGTGATTCGTCTGTGTCTTATCTTCGTTGTCTCACTGTGGCCTCAATACAAATGTCTTGTTGTAATTTATAAAAGTGTATCAATGGATAGCATGCCGCCTTCAGGAGGAGGATGGACGCCACTGTTCTATGCAACTTTTTATACTTGATACTGTTAAAA